CCCAAGTCCTCAGCACCAGCAGTAGCTCCAACACCCTGGTCCGCAGCACCAGCAGCAGCGTCACCGGTCGGGTCCTCAGCACCAGCAGCAGCGCCACCAGTCGGGTCCGCAGCACCAGTAGCAGCTCCAACGCCCGGGTCCTCAGCAGCAGCAGCAGCGCCACCGCTCGGGTCCTCAGCTCCAGCAGCAGCTCCAACGTCCGAGTCCTCTGTACCAGCAGCAGCGCCACCAGTCGGGTCCGCAGCACCAGGAGCAGCTCCAACGTCCGGGTCCTCAGCACCTGTAGCAGCTCCAACGTCCGGGTCCGCAGCGCCAGGAGGACCACTCCGAAGACTGCAGCGCCGTGTGTACCACTCTCGAATCACCTGAATGGGGGGGAGCTCCTGGGAAGGAGGGGAAGTACCGGGACGAGCTCCAGTAGCACCTCTCCGGAGGCGGCAGTACTCGAGGTACCTCTCCTGCAGCTGCTGGGAGGAGAGGGCTCCTCCAGGCGTAGCACCCCCAGACTCAGCACCTCCAGGCTCCGCACCCCCAGGCTCCGCACCCCCAGGCTCAGCACCCCCAGGCTCCGTACCCCCAGGCTCAGCACCCCCAGGCTCCGCACCTCCAGGCCCAGCACCCCCAGACTCAGCACTCCTAGGCTCAGCACCCCCAGACGCAGGACGCGAGTCAACAGCTACCTCGGCGTCGAAAGCTAGAACAGGAGGACTAGCCATAGTGACAGCGGCAGGAGTAGAAGCAGTAAAGACACTGAAAAGGCGTGCGCAGGGTCAGCGGGGCCGGTGGGGCCTACGGACTGTAGTGGCGCACAAGCAGCAGTAGCAGGAAGTGTAGTAGCAGGATCTGCAGTGGTGCACAGGCGCAGCAGGCGGCAGCGAGAGCCGGCGCAGCAGGGGCGGGCTCAGCAGCGGTGATACGCGGGCAGCGGCGGGCGCAGCAGCGGCGGTGCGCGGGCGGCGGCGGGCTCAGCAGCGGCGGTGCGCGGGCGGCTGCGGGCTCAGCAGCGGCGGGCCGGTAGCAGGCAGTGCGCGGGCCGCGCGGGCCGGTAGCAGGCAGTGCGCGGGCCGGTAGCAGGCAGTGTGCGGGCCGCGCGGGCTGTCGACGGTCAGCGCACGAGCCGCGCAGGCTCAGCGCGGGCTGCGCGGGCTGCTCGCGGGCTGCGTAAGCGGGTCGCGGGCGGCTCGCGGGGGTTCGCGGGCAGGTCGCGGGCTGCTCGCGGGCAGTTCGCGGGCTGTGTGCGGGCTGCGCGGGCTGGTCGCGGGCTGCGCAGGCGGTTCGCGGGCTGTGCGTGGGCGGTTCGCGGGCTGTGAGCGCGGCGCGCTGTGCGGTTCGCGGGCGGCGTGACGGGGCCGATCGGGGCGCTAAGGGGCGACGCGACGGGGGCCGTGAGAGGCCGCTAAAAAAAAATTCGAAGGGGCCGCAGGGCCGCTAGATCGTGCTAGATCGACGGGGCCAGCGGGGCCGGAAACAAGCGAAGGTAAGCAGGTAGGTAAGTCGGTGGGCCCTAAGAACAGTCCTAGCGAAGGACCTGCTCTGATACCATGTCAGAAATAACTGAGCAGGAATGAATGAACTAGCACAGAATGTGGTACAAGTAGGAAACCCTAACTTTGTGTACCCCCTAAGGTATAACCCACTACAGCCTAGACAATATAAACATGCAATGTTTGACAGTAGGTACTTCTTACCACGGGTAGGTTGGTGGAGCGTGGCTAGTTTACAAAGAGGCTTCACTGGCGAGGAGGAAGGGAGGAAAGAAAGAAACAGAAACCCTAAGGTATTGTTGATTGCGTCGCAAGAGAAAGTAATATAAAATTTCGTGACACAAGTTTAATAGTTGTCGTTGCACAGTTGATTGAAATTGAACATTTGATGTAAAAGGTTAGAGGCTTGATTCCTGCTGGCGCCATTTTCAAACCTCAACCAAACACCATTAAGTGGCATAGAGTTCATGCCAATTTCTACATGTTCACATTTTGGTAGCACTTTTAGGTCGACTCAAATGAACAGTCCAGTTTTTGTCATTTTCTCAACATCCAAAGCACTCATTTTAACGTTTTGAGAACAAGTGTTCCAGATGTGTGGAGATGACAACATTGATACACAGGTGTCTACTAAAAATTGACACCAAATGTGACCTATCATTCCATAATACTCGATGAATACAGCGAATGGAACCATTGGTCGTGCAAAAATGAGAACACGTAAATGTCATTAAGTGAGTGCTAAATATATCGGTGCTACAAAAGAGATGGTTCCGGTATGCTAAGGCTAGCAGCGCTCCCCAACAACGATCCCCACCTCAAGTGTAGGCCCGACACACTAACATCACACAACTCGAATGGGCATGTGACTGTAGTACAACAATGACGACAACACAACAATTGTGAGTATCTTGAGGAGAATGCTAAAATGCATCTATGATGCAACAAAGGTTGGTCTGGCACGCTAAGGCGATTGCCCCACCGGCGATCACAACCTAAGTTGCATACACGAGGCACGAGACCAACACAAATGATACAAACAAGTGTACATATTGTCGAAATAGTAGGTACAGTGAGAGGCCATAGCTAGGAGAACCCTAGCTAGGCAAGAGAGATTTGAACGAAAAGAGGGGTTTGCACTAGCAACAACGGTGGTACAAATAGCTAACCCTAGAAGGGCTGTACTCGCTATAGAGCACCCCACTGCAGGCTAGAGCATAATATTCTGACACACCCCCATAGCCAAAGTGGGGTGTAATCAGCACAGCAAGCAAAGCAGTACAAGCTCAGGGTGGATCACGATGTCACCACACATTCTGAGCACATGAACAAGAAGCAAAAGTTTAAAGTTCACAATTATGGGTAAAGCTAAAGCTGTCACAGAGGGCAAGCGAGGAGGAGGAGGGCTGGTGAGATGAGAGAAGAGTGGAGGCGACGACTGAAGCTGCAGACACTCGGGCAACAGACGGCTCTGGTGCAACGCTGGTGGCTACCGGGAGGAGAAAGGCCCCGGAATACAGGAGTAACAGGCTCTGCAACTGATCAGCCAGCGACAGTAGCAACGGACCCACGGGCGACAGGTGCAACCGGCTCTCTGAGCTACCGGGAGGAGAAAGGCCCCGGAATACAGGTGCTGCGGACGACACGACGGCAACCTCCGCTCAACCTCCTCCAACTGCCCCACACACCCCCCACACACCCACTGCTGAAACCCTAGCTCCATTCCCACGGCACCCCCCTTAAACCCCAAACCCTAGGCTCCCACACACCACCCCCCTCAGCGGCAGCTGTAGCAGAGGGAGACTAGGGAGGAGGAGGAGGAGCAGGGAACGGCACGCAGTGTCTTCACCCCCATACCCCTCACCCCCAAACCCTAATTCAGGAGAACGGGCTGTAGGAGGGGTGGGGCGCCAGTAGAAGCACGGGGGACAGTGGGGAGGGCAGGGGCAGCGAGGAACGGGCCGCCCACGGGCCTGGCACAGCCGCCCGAACCGCGCGCAGGCGGCCCGAGCCGCGCGCGGGCCTGGCGCTTCCCGTACGGGCCGCGCGCGGGCCTGGCGCAGCCCGTACGGGCCGCGCGCGGGCCTGGCGCAGCCCGTACGGGCCGCGCGCAGGCCTGGCGCAGCCCGTACGGGCCGCGCGCAGGCCTGGCGCAGCCCGTACGGGCCGCGCGCCGGCTGTACGGGCCGCGCGCAGGCCACGACGGGCGACGGGAGGCGAGTCGACGGTGGGGGGGTGCGCGCGGGTCCCCGGAGGCGACGCTAGGGTCGACGGGGGCGACGCGACGTGCAGGGTGGGGGCCGCGAGTGCTCCCCAGGGCGCCGCGACGGACGGGCGGGGTGCGCGCGGGCTCCCCCACGGCTGGAAACCGCCGCGCGCCTCGGCGCGCACGGCGGGCAGGGAACCGCCGCGCGCCCCGAGCGCACGGCGGGATGAAAAATTGAAGGCCGCGCGCCACGGGGCGCGCGGCACAGAGTAGGGCAGCGGAAGCAGTAGTGGGGCCCACAGGCCAAGAGCGTAACCGCTCTAATACCATGTCGAAATAGTAGGTACAGTGAGAGGCCATAGCTAGGAGAACCCTAGCTAGGCAAGAGAGATTTGAACGAAAAGAGGGGTTTGCACTAGCAACAACGGTGGTACAAATAGCTAACCCTAGAAGGGCTGTACTCGCTATAGAGCACCCCACTGCAGGCTAGAGCATAATATTCTGACACATATGTCACACACAGGCACACAAACACACATACACACTGACACACACGCATACACTAGCACACACGCAAACAAGCACAGATACATACAGATAATAAACACATAACCATCACGAATGGGAGTCAGTTACCGTTCATAGATAATTGCTAACGTTTTCCCCCTCTAGCCTCCCTACACCCCTCCTTCCTCCCTCCCTCATCTCCCTCACACCCCCTCCCTCATCTCCCTTCTCCACCAAACAAAATCAAAGAATGCAGTTTGCTCGCTCTGCACAAAGCAAAAACAGAGAATGCGATACACCGCCCTGCACAAAGCAAAAACAGAGAATGCAAAACACGCGCCCTACATAAGAAAATGGTAAAAACAGAGAATGTTCACACACTGCACAAAAAGAAGGCAATAAAACATATAATGTAACTCATGTGCCCTGCGAGAAGAAACTCACAACAGCAATTCACCAGCAGAAAGCAAAACCAAAGAGAGTGCAGCTCACACATGCACTAGAAATGAAATAAGAGCAATAGAAATAAAAATCTTTGAAGAACGCATAGATCAATCAAAGACAAACAACGGAAATTTGACAGCTCAGAGGTAAATTGGTATTGTGGCACCATAGATACTATGCCAGCATGATGCAATACCTTGCAGCTACCCGCACGTTCAACTTCACACTCGTGTTCGCACTCATTTTTGTACTCAATCTTGCACCCACTCACACACACACAAATACACTCGCAAAAATAAACATACAAACCTACACGCTCTCCCACGCAAATCCTCACGCACACTCTCACGCGCTCTCTTATGCGCACTCTCACGAGCACTCTCACGCGCACCCTTGCTCTCACGCGCACTCTCACGAGCACTCTCGCGTGCACTCTCATGCGCACTCTCACGCGCACTCTCATGTACACTCTCACGCGCGCTCTCATGTGGACACTCACGTGCACACTCACGCGCACACTCATGCGCACTCTCACTTGCACACTCACGTGCACACTCACGCGCACACTCATGCGCACTCTCACTCGCACTCGCACGCACACTCTCACGGGCACTCTCACGGCTCTCACGGGCACTCTCACGGGCACTCCCATGCGCACTCTCACGCGCACTCTCACGCGCTCTCTCACGCGCTCTCTCGCGCGCTGACGCAGACACTCATGCGCACTCTCACACGCACTCTCACACGCGCGCTCACGCGCTCTCTCACGCGCTCTCTCATGCACTCTCTGACGCACACTCTCACGCGCATGCTCATGTGCACGCTCACACGCACCCTCATGGCAGGGAGGAGGGAGAGGCGACAACGGGGAGGAGGGAGAGGCGAAGGCGGGGAGGGGGGAGAGGCGACGGCGGGGAGGAGGGAGAGGCGACGGCGGGGAGGAGGGAGAGGCGGAGGCGGGCAGGGGGGAGAGGCGATGGCGGGAGGAGGTAGATGTGACAAAGGGAGAGGCAAAGGCGGGGAGGAGGGAGAGGCGATGGTGGGGAGGAGGGAGAGGCAACGTCGGAGGGGAGGAGAGGCGACGGCGGGGAGGTAAGGGAGAAGATACGGCGGGATGGGAGGGAGAGCCACAGCTGAGTGGGAGGTATTGGCGACGGCGGGATGTTACTAGGAAGGATAGCAAGATGGTAGGGAGTCGCAACGGGAGGATGAATTAGGTTGGAGTAGAAATTGGGTTGGGGATGAAAAGGAGTAAGCAAGAGCAGATGAGGTGTTGTCAAGAGGAAACAAGAACAAGAACCAAGAACGAAGCAAGAACCAAGAACCAAGAATCGAGAATCAAATTCAAGTTGACAGCTGTGAAAGGAATGGACATGTGAAAGCTAGTGTCACGTGAAAACACATCCATAACCACGCCATCCAACTAGCAGTCACATCAGATACAGTAGTTGCAAACAAAAAAATTGCTGTAGCAACCTGACAGAACAATAGTGAAAAAAAAAAAATCAATGTTCGAATCGTTCCATATTAATTATTAAAAAAAATCCATAATAAGGAACTATTGAGCTTGTCCCGTATTAAGTAAATAGGTAGAACTTAGTGAATTGCTTCTATAAGTAAAATATTGTATACTCCACCATCATGCTTCTAACACACGGAATAAGACTCCACGCAACCCTTCTGACGTAGACGTCGATTTTTTGGGTTGCGAAGCAACCTATTACAATCGTTATGTACAATTTTTTTTTCATCGTTATGAAAAAAAAATAGCGAATCGTGGCTAAGTGATTCAGTGCTGTGTATTTGCCACGACAATTTAGCACGTGCCGTACCACATTCTTTCACATTTCCTAGGTAGTTCGCCTTGACTGGTAACCTATACTTTATCGATGAAACATAAACATGACTTGCCAAAATGATGTACCGTAACTGTGAATGCGTGACCGTTTATTCGGTAATGCATATGCCGTAAAAAATAATGTATAGATGAAGTATAATGATGATTGAGTGCAAAATGCATAAATATACATGCATATACGACTGTGGTGAATATACATGTGCTCTGTTTATTTCGGTATAGGTCCGGTGCAGTGAAATGAATGCATGGCATGATGGAAATGCGTGACAGTTAATTGACCCAGACCTTATGCTACCGCATCCCCTGCCTAGCATGGGGGGGAAGTCGATAGCATAGTTCCTGAATCATCCAACTGTTACATGAAACAACACAATCTGTGTAAACTAAATCAATGATCAAAATCCATCAAATCCAGTTCAAGTGAACACACTCACTGAGTGGGCAAAGAACCTTCTCGGAAATGATAGCTTGACCATTTTTTTAAAATCCACAGATACGCATTGTTAATGCAATAGCAGGTGGATATGTATGAATATGCACACAGAGACACATACGCACACACGCACATACCGATATGCACACACAAAGACGAGTCACAATCAGAAAATGAACCTAAAAGAAATCTAACATAACAATGCAGTAGCATCAATCATTAACATTTCAAACAAAAATCAAACAAAATCCTTTTAATTTCCACATTAGCCTCCGAACGTTATAGCGAAGACCCTGGGAGGGAAACGGGGGGAAACGTAGTGGGAAGGGAAAGGAACGGGGCAGAAGGGGCAGAAAAAAGGACGGAGGCAGAGACACATTAGAGAACTACGATACGACGGAATTACAGGATTTGAAACGTAGGCAGGTGGGGAAGAGAAGTACAAAGGAGAATAACGAATAAAAATACCAGATGTGATAATAACCGCATAGAGGAAACGCAATAATCTGGGCAAGGAAAGAAGAAAACATAAATGAGCTCGTATATAGTAGCGTTTTGATAGATACATAAACGAGCGAAAGAGTTTGACAGAGAGAGAGAGAGAGAGAGAGAGAGAGAGAGAGAGAGAGAGAGAGAGAGAGAGAGAGAGAGAGAGAGAGAGAGAGAGAGAGACTTCAATAAACTATGGCTTCTAAAAAAACATTCGTAGACTTATGAAAGACATATTCAAAAACCGCACGAAGGTAGGAGTGGAACCAATACGGAAGGAAGATAACATGCAATACGAGGACTATACGCGAGATGCGAGGAGAAGAAACATTGCAAGAAATGAGACAGAAAGAGCCTGTAAGTATGACAGAAAAAAACACACACACACACATAACTACGAGAAGATGGGGCACAGATACTAGAAAAACCGAAAGAAGAGCGTCTAAGCTGATAAGAATAAAAAGGAAGGAGGAAAACGACATGATAGAGAAATGAGAGGATAGTTCTAGGAGTTAAGAGCGTGAGCAGCACAGTTGGACTTACGGGAGAAGACACATTATTTAAGAACGACCTAACGGTTCCGTCGAAATGGACGATATCCTTAAAAACGATTAAGTTTCTAGATAACTTAGAACTTACTGGTTCAAATTAGAGAAAAGAACATGAACGAAACTGCTCCTAATATTTTCTTGAAGTCTAAAAAGAACTAGCAGACGTTAGTACGTACGCTAGTCCTTAAATTCTTACCTAGTAAGTATATGACTGCTGCAGTCGTAGGAGGAGCGGGAGTTGAGGGAGACGCGGGAGGAAACTAGGGCATTGACGATCCAGAAAGAGACGAAATGTTGGGAAAGGAATTCAATTTTCGGCTTCAATTAAACTGCCTTGTAAAAATTTCCCGGAAATTGAAAGTTGTTCTGTTAGCGCAGTGGTTTGAGTATCTCGTTTTAATCCAATGGTCTCGGGTTCGGTTCTTGCCGCGGCCTTCTGTATCAATGCAACATTTTCAACAGGTGCCTGTTTTTAATTTGTACCCCTCGAAGTCAGTTGTGGAAGCACAGTGGTATGGATTTCGAATCAGAAGCCGTTGGTCTCCGGTTCGATTCTTGCTGCTACCTTTTCATGTCAACACAATATTGGATATGTGTCATGTCTAAGAAATCTAGGAAAGTACGTAGTAGAACAAAATATATTATTTACAAATAAGCTTCGCAACCCTATGTCGACTTGGTCGCCTCTTGTTTTTTTTTTTTTTTTACATATAAGAAATGTTCGCAACCCTAAGACAATTTCGTCGCCTCCTGTTTGTTCTTTTGGACAGCGGAGCAACCTAATACAATCGATACGTACATTTTTTTTCATCCTCTACATTTATAAAAAGAAGATGAAGAAAAAAACGTGTGGACGATAGCCTACGTGACTGCTACTGTACTGTATGAATTTGCCGTTGCAATTTAGCGCGTGCGATACTATATTTCTTATACCGGTAACTTCTTATTATGCCTTGGCTGAGTAAGAATGAATGTGCATATACTGTATGGATGAAATATGATATTGTGAACGCATGGCTGTTAAATCCGTAATGCATATGAAGAATTCTGTTACGGTATGCATAAATGAAGTTTGCTTGTATGTATATGGATGGATATGTTTAATCATGTATAATGCATAAAAATAATGAAAGTACAGCATAACACGATGGAAATGCATGATAGTTAATTGACCCATACACTAAGCTACCGCATCCCCTGTGGGGGGGAAGTCGATAGTTTAGCATTTGAATCATCCAACTGTTACATGAAACAACATAATATGTGTATTCTTAAAAAATGATCAATTCTATCAAATCTTGTTCAAATTAACACACTCACTGAGTGGGCAAAGAACCTTCTCGGAAATGATAGGTTGATCATTCTTTAAAAACCCACAGATACGCATTGTGAATGCAATCATAGATGCATATGGAAAAATGCAAATGCACACACACACACACACACACACACACACACACACACACACACACACAGATTCACAATACACACTGAGACGCAAAGTAAAGAAGCCACAAAATAGATATACCAAAACAGTACAGTACCACCAATCAATTTACCACTATTATCTTTCTATTGCCCATATTGATCCGACTTCTCAAATGGTGCAGCGAAACCTCTGGGGAAAAGGAGAGAGAATAAGGGAGGGAGAGGGGCAGAGGGGGCACAAGGGGCGAATGGGGAAGAGATTACATGGAATGGGAGAGAAATGATTAAGAAAACGAACAGAAAGATACAAGGAATTAAACTTGGAACAATAATATAGAAAAGGGTTAAAAAGGGGAGGAACGGATGAAGGATGAAAAAGGCAATACAACAAATAACCACACAAAATGGGGCCAAATAGATGAAGCGAGATGAAAGGAACAAACAGAGAAGAAGGGCGGAAGTAGAGAGATTAAAGGACATGGACAAACCAAACAGGATAAAAAATCACAAAATGATCGAATGAAAGTAAGACAACATTGACGAACCAAGGACTAAGGCAGTGGGAAATAAAAATATCTTAATCTTACGAGGAAAAAATGAGAGGATGAAGGAGAAATGCATCAAAGAAAACAATGTAACATTGAAAAGAATGATGAGAAAGGCATTAATGAAAGAGAAAGGCTAAAATAATGATAATAGAAAGCACGAGAGCGAATAAAATGCGGAGATAACTCTGTCAATGGGAGCAACATTACGGGCTAGGTACGGGGTAGATGTGATCGTAGCATTCGTTTCCTTAGTCGTTCACTTATGACAGGGAGATTTTGCAAGAGTTTCACTAGCAAAAGTTGACAACAATGATAGCAACAACATTGGCATGCAACACTACATCAGAGCTAGCAAGCGTGCTGGTCAACCTCCAGCTCAGCACGGTCGACCGCGATCCAG